GCGCGCGCTCAGGGGCCGCGCTGGAGGCGGCGGCGGCGGCGGCGCGGAGCTGCAGCTGGCTCAGGCACTCCTGGCAGAAGGTGTGCAGGCAGGCCAGCAGCTTGGGGGCGCGCCGGTCCGCGTCGAAGTAGTTGTAGCAGATTTTGCACTCGTAATCCTCGAGCGGAGGGAGGCTGGGGGCGGTAGCCACGGTGGCGTCCCGGACGCCCGCGTCCCCGTCGTCGCGAGCTCCCGTCGCGGGACCCCCAACTCCCTCCCGGCTCCCGGGGCTGCTGCTCCGGCTCAGGGTGCTGCTGCCGCTGTCGTTCGCCAGCGCTGCCATGGCATGATCCGCCCCTCATCGGGGGCTAGGTGAGGCGCCTTCCTCCCCCTGCGCTGCAGCCCCGGCTCCCGGCGGGGAGGAGGCGCTTCTGCCTCCCCCCTCTGGCTGCTGTCGCCTGGTGGGGGAGGCAACCGCTGGCTGCTGCGCCCCCGCCCGGCCCTCCGGTCCACCCACCCCACCCCACCCCACCCCAGTGCGGATGCTCTGATCCCTCCCGGTCCTGGAGCGCCTGACTGAGGGTACCCCTAATCCTCTCAACCTAGGTCTCCTGACATCTTTCTGTATCGGTCTATGTTGGACTTAAAAGTAGGGTTCAAATGGGCTGGGAGGTGTTGCGGAAAGCATTTGGGGGTGCCATTGCTTAAGGCTGTTCCCTTTTGCCTGTACTCATAGCCGCTATAGATGGCGTGGTACTGGGACCCGCTTTTTCCTTTTTCCTCTTCCTCGACATTACTCCTCCCACCCCTCCTTTTTTTTTCTTTTTCTTTTTTTTTAAATCTGGGTTAGCCTTTCCTGTCTGGGGCTAGGTCCCGGGAGAAGTCGCCTCTCCCCCTCTACCAGCAAGAGCTCACCGTGATGTCATGCAGGACCCGCGCAGGAAGGGGAAGCGGCGACCTCTCAGCCGGGTAGAGGCGGTTCCTTCCCCCGGCTGAAAGTCGTGATCTCACATCTCAGTCCAAGGGCGAAAGCCAATAATCCCCAAGCCATTTACGCTTTGCGCTTTTATTAGCAGGGCCCAGGCGGCCGCGCAGTGCTCATCTCGGAGTGGAAGCGGAGAAGGGCATTTTCCCTTCACCATTTGGAGGAAATTTGGGAATCAGATAATACCCTTTTCCTCCTCCGAAACATTGGTTCCCGAGTTTAAGGAGAGAAGACAGATTGGGAGCAGAGTCCAGCTGTTCTCCTGGCGATGACCACTGTAGATGCAGCTGTTTTTAGTACCAGGCTGTTACAGAGACAGAGAGGAAAGAAAAGAAGTTGGCAAGGAAGTTCACTGACTGAGAAGTCGAGTGGAAACCCAGAGGCTAGCCTCACCCACCCCCTTCCTCCTCTACATGCCCACTTCAGTCATCCAAACGCAGAGAACACAAAACTCTCCGCTATGTGTGGGGTAGACGCTGAGTTTATGAAAACTCCAAGCTTTGTGGACTAGGACTCCAAAGAAACCAGTCAGCAGGAGTACAGGAGTGTTTGGGTACAGCCTGTGTGGTGATATTTAGATATTCTTAACCTCTCTGCCCTGTCTCTCCAGGTGCCCCCTACCCCTCCCCGAGAAGAGGAACATGGACACCCATCTCCCCATTCAGCAAAGAAGGGGGAGAAAAATGGCTTTGTAAGATTTTTTTTTTCTTTATTTCAGGCGGTAGGAACACTGCACTTTCTGTCCTGATTCTCTGAAGATGACAAGGTGCCACGGGGAAGAGCGGCAAGACACAATGACTGGGAAGCAAGCTCAAGGGAGAGGAGAGAAAGAAAGAGGCAAGAACCACCAAGAGTTGCCTAGGAAGGCTGGGGCTGCAGGGTCTGGGAGAGTACGGACATGCTCTCATCCTGGGCACTTCGCAGAGTGGGCACCTTAGCATAAGCCTGTAATCCAAGAGCTTGGGAGGTGGAGGCGGGAGGTTAGAAAGTCAGAGCATCCTCAACTACACGTGGAGTTTGAAGCCAGCCTGGGCTCCATGAGACCCTGTCCCCAAACACAGTAAAACAAAACAAGATGAGTTTCTGGGGAAATTGTAAGTGACTGTATGACATTTCTGGAGCATTTGAAAGTAAGTCCATTTTTACTCTGTGTGAAGAGCGAAAGCACTATGTCTTAAGTTCAAGGCCTTAACTTAAACTTGTTTAAGACACTTTCTAGTTTCAAGTGTCATCATTATTCTGTGGGGAAACCTACATCTTTTTCAGTCTCTCGTTCTATGGTGAGGACGGTAATGAGAGGGCCGGTTGATGAAAAGGCTCTCCTCCGGCCTGGAAAGGTTGCAGGATGACTCAAAGCTAGCCGAGCTGAGCTTTCAAAGTCTTTCTGCTTCTCAGTTGTGCACTTCCAGCATGTGCATCTCACGCACAGTTTCACACTGGGTTCTTTATGATTAGATTGCACGTATACTGTGGTGCAGTGCCCGATTAGAACTTGAAACAGTGTCTCAGGAAGAACAGTGCACAGAAGCAAGAGACCCAATGGGGATCTGTATGGCTCTTCTCACACACCCAGCTCCACGCTGGAAGTGACCCAAAGGTGATGTGAGAGCTCTGTGTGTTGGCAGTTACAGGTGGTTGTGCATTCTCACCTTGCACCAGGGCTTCTCACACCAGCACTACCGATGTTTTGGGCTGGTTAAAATTTTATTGCAGGTGCTGTCCTGTGCACGGCCAATGTTAAGTGCTGTCCTTGGCCTCTATCCATTTGAAGCCAATAGCAAAGCATGCCAGTTATGATAACCAAAACTGTCCTCTGAGGACAAAATCACCCCTGGCTGTGGACTTCAGGACTTATACAAGGACCAAAGATTTGCTTTAAGTGAGATCTGAACCAGATCGACCAGCTCCTCTCTAGTATAAACAAAAAGTATTCCTAAGGTATTTATCACATTGTGACTGTGTTTCTCCTGTAGATCATGGTGGTTTAGGTCCCAAAGTATGGAACAATCTTTGAAAGACACTGGTATAACTTTTGCCAATACTTTCTATGAACAATTACAGGACTTTGGCTAACAATGACAGAACTCATTGTCTTTGGATAGTTTTTTGTGTTTTGTTTTGTTTTGGGCAGACAGTATCCCACACTATAACTCAGGCTGACCTGGAACTCACTAATGGCAAACACAGCAATCCTCCTGTTTCAGCCTCCCAAGTATTGGAATCCCAGGTATGAACCACCATACCCAGTTTGGATAGTGTTTTGAGAGGAACACAACCTCTTAATTATTTTATATCTTGGGGAAAGATGTTAACTCCTGGGACTCATAAAGCTGTTTTGTAAGGACTTCTTTGGAACAACAAGGACGGTTGGTGCCACTTAGATAGTGTAGGTAGATCACAGGCACCTGACCTAGTGGACCATAAGGCCTGGTGCTGGCCATGTTGCCTACAAGAGTAGACATGGAAGCTGAGTCATGTTGGGGAACTGGACTTTCCCTGGGAAGAAAAATGTGTTGAATTGGATCTTAAGTTTGACAACAAGTAGCTCAGTACGCATTCTAGAATTTGAATTGGCTTTATCAGAACCCTGCCTGAATCTTGAATATAACAGATAGCATTTGCTGGATTATCTAGTTTTTGAGGACCCAAGGAAATGGGAAACAGCCATGCTCTCAGATAATCTCTTTTCTATGGTCTCTCCCTTGGCCACCTAAAGAATGTTCTAGTTTCAACAGCCTCTGTCTCTACAAAAGATTTAGGGGCTGTTCATTCACAGAACATGTGCCTTGGCAGTTCTGGGTTCAGATTACAGGTCTGTTCGTCACCCTTTGTGCATTTACAGGCTACCTTTCCTGTGCCCTGGTTTCCCAAACTAAAATTAGGATGAAAGTACTTACTGCATAACTGTTTATTGCACATTGTAAGGACTGGTTGTGTTGTATATGTAACATAAAATAATAGGCCCCAGCCACTGGTAACACTCATTATTATTTATGTTGGGGTTCCTGTATATCTGATCTAGGGATCCTCACAGATGTCTATGAGAAAGGTCTCAGTGTCTGTGGGACCCAGCCCAAGGTGGAGCAGCCAGAGGCAATAGGGTGGTTGCCCCCAGTTCTTCTGACCATCAAAGATGGAACACAGGTAGCATCCCAGCCAAAGGACCAGATTTTCCTATGAAGTCAGCCACGCACTACAGATCTGCCAGCTGTAATAAACAGAGCCCTTCATAAAACCTCAGGGCCAAGGTGAAATCTCACTGTTCGTATTGGAGGGATAGATGTCTAGTCAGATAAAGCTACCCAGAAGCAAGTATTCAATCATTCCATCAAATAGTTGACATTTTAAAATAGAAAGCGGGTCGATTAAATTCAACATTTGCCAAGCTCCTGTTTCAGAAGACATTGAAAATGGTGAAGATGCCTGGCCTCTAGCAACCAGGAATTCAGTAGAAAAGTCCAAGAAAACAGGACAACCAACTGTGTTGTGACGATCCTCAAGGAGGCACTGAGACAGAAAAGGGACACTGGGGACACGCTAGGGAAATTTGTGCCAATAAAGTGCCAATCTTAGTGAGCAAGAATGTATCAATACTGGGTCCTTGGTTATGATAAATGTAGAATATTAATGAAAGTTATGAATAACAGGAAACGAAGTGTGGTGCTTTGGGGAACACTGGGAATCTTTGCAAGTTTCTATAAATCTAACATTATTCTAAAATAGACGTTTTAACTTTCATGGTATATATTTCTGGAGTTGTGCTTGTTGGCTTTGCAATACTATAACAAAATCCCTGAGATAACCAAATTATAAAGGAAAAAGGTTTGCCTTGGTTTCAGTATGAAGAGTTTGGGTGAGTTGGCTGTGATGCTTTTTTGAGCCTGTGTTGAGTGGTGTACGGTGACTCTCTAACACTTCATTCACCTCACAGTAGCCGGGAAGCAAACAGAAGAAATGGGCGGGGGAGGGGAGGAACTGGAGCCCCAGCGTTCATCCTCATAGACCTGCTCCATCACCTAACTAGAGTACCAGGCCCCACTTCCTAAAGGTTACACACCTTCTAAAGGAGCTCTAACACATGGGCCTTTTCGGTGACATTTATCCAGACACAGGAGGGTTACAACATGGAGTTTGATAAAGTTTATTTTTTTAATGTGGACAATTTTGGGGGCTTTTCAAGCACAAGCCATTGAATTCCTTAAGAATGTCAGATGGGGCCTGGAGAGCTAGCTCATTGGTTGTTCTTGCAGAGGAACCAGGTTTGGTTCCCAGCATCCACAACAGGAAGCTGGCAACTGTCTGTAAGTCCAGTTCCAGAGGATCTGCTGCCCCTTTCCGACTTCCATAGGTACCAGGCATGCATGTGGTCCACAGACAGACATGCAGGCAAATCACTCACACACATGAAAGAGAGAGAGGGTGTCATATGGAGACACGACTCCTTTTTATGTGTATTTGGACCATCACTTCAAAGAACACCCAGCAGGCAAACTTGAAAACTTTCCAACAGATTTCATTTAGAATTTATTACATTTGGGCGTCACATGGTTTGTTATAAGATGGAAAAGAAACAGTAGTGTCCAGATATGTATAGAAATCATGTAACTACCTTAAAGAATAGTCAGAAAAGAACACTGTCTTCTCTTTGCAGTATTGAGGGTTAGACCTGGGACCTCACACATGCTTGGTAAGTTCCTTATCAATGAGCAACATTCAGTCTTCAGAAAGGAAAAAAATTAAATCTCCCACACTCATCACAGCCACTGCTGTAATGAAATTTATTTCCACGCGTGTGTGTTTTTACCTGATTATGATAATAACACACATACTTTCCTTCAGTCTAATTAGGTTTATTCATAACAATACTATTTATGGTCTCTATGGTCTGCCAGACAGTGTGCTAAGGTTGGGGACACACAAATACAGTGAGTCAAAAATGACTCCAAGTTTGTCCTGTTAGAATTTCTAACACATATGACGGACAGATAATAAACAAATGGGTGGGTGTGTACTGCAGCTGGGGGTGGGCAGTGCTGTGGAGAAAAGCACAGTAGATTATCCTCAGCCTTAGCCAGAGAGGCTTCTCTCTGCAGCGGGGGCAATT